ACCTCAGTAAAAGTACTTCTGGGGAGAAGCTGTATTACTGTTGATGCATTGGTAGTATTATACTTGAGGCTTCCTGGTTTTCTCCTCATTTGAAATTGAGTCTTAAGTGGGCTCGGTTATTTTCTGACTGCAACAAGCTCAGGTCTTTGGGAGGCTTACCTGCGGGCGGGCTGGAGCTTTTGTGCAGAAAGAGAAGGCAAAGAGGAAAGCAGAGATGGAGGGATGGGATGAGGGGATGTAGTGAATACGGTGAGCAAGGTGAGAACAGGATGAGAGAGAGGTTGGGAAAAAGGAAATGGGGTAAGAACAAGAAGGGGGAGGAGAAGACAGATGAGAATAAATGGAAGGTGACTGTCCAGTGTGGAAATGGGATGCTGGAATGGGGAGAATGGGAGGGTGGTCACAGAGGTTGGCAGCCAGGGGCAGTGGTGGTTTAGCTGCTGAATATCTTACATTCTCTTGAAATAATTATTAGCATCTAAGCAGTTCTTGGATGTGCCAGCAGCCATCAGGAGCTTGTGCTGGGTACAGGATACACACATGCAGAAGGATGCTACTGCCCTGATGACAAAGAGGAGGAAGAAAAGAAACCCAGCTTAATTTACAGACTGAAGAGCCGAGAATGGCAGAGAATGTTCAGGGCTTGCCCAGAATGCTACAGGAAATGATGACAGAGTTGTATACTGCACTCTGCTCTCAGGCTGGCCTCCCTAAAGCTGCCATTTCATTCTTGGTTTGTTTTTCTGTTCCCCTTTTTCTGGTTCAGCCTATAGGTGAATGTAGTAGTGAGTGTAACTGTGCATTCCTAGCGTGGGTACGATTCTTTAATGCTTGCAATAAGGCCAAACGTTTTTCTTCTCAAGCTGTTGGCTGCATCTCTGCAATATGTAATATCCCACAAACCTGAACTCTTAGTGATTTATAAGAAAAAATAATGGCCTTTTATGATAAATAATTAAAAGCTCCTTTAAGATACAGTAAGGCCAGTAGTAAATAGCTTCTTGATCGAGTTCCAGTAGTAAGAGTATGTATTCACATACATACCATCCCATTTTTCTTTACCCTTGTCATTTCCTAGGTGCAAGATTCTTTCAGAAGAGCTCCTGCACAATGCAGTGTATCAGACCTGCGGGGACAGAATCCAGGCAGCTTTGAAATACGAGCACAACTTCTAGGAAATGCCAAAATGAATGCTGTTTATTTTGCCCTCCTCCCTAACTTCTGCTTCTGCTTATGCCCTCATCCTCACCCTCCTCTCCAAGGGACCTCCTGGTTTGCTATTTGCTGGTGTAGCTCACCAGGGAGGAAGGGCTGTGGGTGAATGATGCCTGTTCCATGCACATCCTTTTCTGTCTTAAATAGAACATAATGTGTTTTCTTCCTGGTTTTCAGACGCTGTGATCTGAAGTAGACATGTTCCGCCTGTACCGACCTTGGCCCCGCGGCAGTCTGCTGTGTCCTGTCAGACCATGTGCCACCACACATGCTGGTAGACAGCGAGAGCTTTTGAATTGCCAAACGTGTTTTAACCTGAAGGTTGCTTTTCAGTGTGTTTCTTTGATCAAGTCTGGAAGACAAAGATGCTGGCTGTAGCAACTACAGCTTCAAGATGCAGCTTAAAGCTCCTTTGAACAGATTCTTCAGCTCATGCTTGTAACAAACCCCTCTCCTGGGTCAGTGGAGGAGCTGACCAGGTTAGAGTGACCTGTGCTGCTCACAGAGTTTATAGTTAGATATCAGTGTCATCTTCCTGCCTGCTCCTGGGCAGGCAGTACACTCTGAGCTGCTGGATTGTTCAGCCTTTGCTTTAAGGGTAGCTTCTCCCATGGGGCTGCAAGAGATGAGTATGTCAAGTGCGTGCAGCATCCCATTGCCCCCCTCAACATCAGCATGAGGCACTTCATGGATACTGTCTCCAGTGCCAAGGATGGAGGTGACTGCCTTATCTGCAATGAAGAGCTCTCCCAAAACTTGGCTGATGGGTCACCTCTGCATTAGTTTTTGCTTGCTGACCTTGGCATGGTGCAGCTCTTTTCCCTGCCTTGTTGAGGGCAAAGGGCTGCATCATGGTCCCAGATCCCCACTTCAGTTCAGTGCTGGTTAAACCAGCAATGAAGTATGCAGAGTGCCTGTTGCATTTCTCATCAAATCTTAAACTTGACTTGTCATTTCCCCTAAATATACTTGCTGTTTCAGTTGATCTGTTGTATGTGGACAGTGACCTGAGCCTTCTGATGTTTCTGTTTGCTATTCTCCATTTCAGAAAGGAAGAAGGTACACGGACAGAAGGTTTTGCCCCAGTACAGTCAGATAGGCTTTTGTTTCTGAGTTTAATTTTTAGGCAGCTTTTCTTTCTGCTTCTTCTGGGTGGTGCTGTTAAGGTAGATCATGCTGTGAACTGAGGTGAACTTGTGCAAAGAAGTCCACTCTCGCATTAGTGTGTGGTTTGTGCTGAAAGCCCATGTGGGTATGGAAAGCTTTTCAGAAATGGTTACCTCTCTGTGAAATGCAGCTTTTAACCCAGATTGTTTGTGTGTAGGGCAGCTGCTGATTCAGTGTATGGAAGCAGAGAGGGTTCTTCCTTCCTGTTTATGGAATGTGCTAGGCTCCATTTCAAAATTTTCCATCCTTCTGAAGCATACATGGACTGTGCTTCATTTCTTTTGAGCACAGAAGGATTTCTACCTTTGGTGCCTGTGTGAGAGCTGAAGGTGGTGATTCTGGGTAGTCGTAGTCTAGTCCATGTCCTTTATTCCTATTTATTGATCTGGATAAGGAGAACTGCTTCCGAAGGGGTGGCAGTCTGCGTTCAGAAGCTGGAATGCAGTGTGGACTCCCGGAGCCTGTGATCATTTCACAGATTTGTTCAGATTCTGTAGCTGCCAAAACATTTTGTTCCTTTGACATGTTATCCATCAGACCAGAAACGCTGCGTGTCGAGGGAGAGGAGGAGGCGCGCTCCTTTGTTCCTGTCACAATCAGAGTGTTTTCCTGGCCACTTCAGTCACACGTTAAATATTTCGTTCTCTCCTCCCGTTGTCCAGACTGAGCTATGTTTGTATAGTTTCTTGCAGTGCACTTGTTGGAGCAGAGAAAAGCTTTCTTGATGTCATTATTAAAAGGGCTCATTCTGTTACTAACGGTCTAGCGGTCAGTGGGAACGGGACGTTGCACAAGAGTGCTCCAAGTGCAGGCGCTCTGATGGGCTCAGGTCAACCAGGAGAGAAGTTTGTGGTCTATGGTGGTGCACACCATGGTCATTTATGAGCCCTCCATAAGCATGGAGAGACAAGGGGAAGGGCTGGTTGGGAGAAGCGGGATGCAGAGCAGGCCATGCTGCCCATGCTCACTGGCATGTGGTGGTATCGGTACAACTGGGGATATTTTGCCATCAATGTGCTCGCATTTAAGAGCAGAATGACGTTTTATCATCACTATTTTAAACATGTTAAACTCAAAGGTATATTTTTAAAAGCCTACCCATAGAACAGGCAGCCAAACTTGGCAGTTCTGCCAGTTAATGTGAGAGATTTCCCTTTACTACCTTGCCTTTCCTGAGTACAGAACCACAGTCTCTATCTACTGCTTCCTCTTTGCTTGGAATCAGTATTTTGTTTAGATTGTTAAAATACGCAGAGAGGAGGCATAGTTTGTAATGAGCAGATAAAAAGATTAGCAAGTTCGTCACTGAATAATTTATAGCCTTGAACCTGATTAACAACGTTCAGCCCTCCCCGTTCTTGTTTAAGTTGACGTGGTGCTTACCCTCCAGAGTGCTCGCCGGGGATCACAGTGTTCGTGGAGCTGTGTTCCAGGCGGGGCTTTGAGATATACATAAAAACTATTCATAGAGAGATTCCCTGCGCTGGGGTTTAAGCCTTCCAGCTAATTCTTGGCTTTTATTAGAGATGTTTTTCTGGTCAAGTCATGCAGACTTCATGCCTCAGGTCTTCATTTGAAGAGGAGTGCAGATACTTTCCTTCCTCAGAGACGATGGAAGAGATGCTGATTGATATTTGGGAGGGTTTTCAGAAGCTCTGGTGATGGGTCCTTGTAGGTAGGCACAGGGCTGGGGATGGTCTTAGCCTTTTGCTTTTTCAGGCAGGGCTCTGCTGCTCGGGGTAACCCAAAGCAGTTCAGAGGCCACACTTTACAAGGGTGAGGTGCTCAGGCTTTCTTCTGCAGGAGCCTGAGTGGTATTGAATGGTCTTGTTTAAGACATGAGCACTTTCTACAGGGCACTCATGGTACTTCTTAGAAAAACAAATAGAACATGAAAATAGCAATTGTAAAATTGGAACAGGAAAGGTCTAGTGGAATCTTGGCTTCATGCTGTGACAAGAGGTTTACCAAGGCACGATGCTGCTGGGCTGCATGGATTCTCAAATTTATGAACTTGTATTGTTGCCTCTGTGGAATTTTTATGGGCATTATATTGCAATGAATATTGAGGTTACTTGACAAATAAAGGAAATCTTTGTTAATGTGGTTTAAATGGGTGATTGTGACATTATAAATTAGGCAAAGTAGATGTTAAGTGCATTGCAGCCAAGCTAGGGGCCTAATGGAGCTTGTGTTGGCTCGTTTTCTGGATGATAGATGGCAGTTGCAGTGCTAACAGCCTGCTCTAGCTCTGAGTGACTTGTACACTTGTTTTACATGGTGCAAGCTAAAACCTGATGCAAGAATACAGAAGTGATGACCACAATGTCCCCTGGGAAGTGCTATGACCCCGAGGCAAGGGTCCACCTGATGTGTTTCTGCTGCAGTCTCTGTGTCCGAGGAAGAACACTCAGTGTTTGGTGCTCCAGCTCCTGCTAGCAGCCCCATACCACCCTTCAGTTCATCCCCCAACTATCTAACTGGGATAAAAACTCGCATCTTGCATGAGTCTTTTACACTAACATTTCATTTTAGAGATCTGTTTCTCCAAAGGATGTTAAAGGTCTGGTTTAAAATAAGCAGTTTCAAGTAACTCTTTTTTCCCCCTTCTTTTTCAGTATCCGCAGTGTTATGCAGAAATACCTTGAGGAAAGGGGTGAATTAACCTTTGGCAAGATGTTTCATCAGAAAATTGGTAAGTCATAGTTAAGTGAAATGTTACTCATGTAAATATTAAGACCTGTTTGCCTGCCACCTCTCTGTGACGACTGCTGGAAGCCAGTGTTGGAGATGGTGTGAGGAGCACTGCGGTATGGACAAGACGCAGTAAAACAAAGGTCTTCAATAAAGTGAAATGCTGTGGAAGGGAAGAGGACGAAGCAGAGCAGTCTGTCAACTTCATGGGCTGGAAAACTACTGGGAAAATAATTAAATTATTGGAAACAGCAAGGAGAAAATTGTATTAGGTGGTATGGGCTTGTCAGCAATGTAATGTGTCACATCAGTTACACTTTTTTGTTTCCTCTGCAGGACTAATATGCCCTCTTGATAAGGGAGCAGCAGTAGAAAAGATACTGTCTGTGTTATCTTGACTATCTGACATCATGCTTTTGCTGGCAACAGAGAGAGATGTGGCCTGGGTGAACCTGCTGTGTGATGGGGCAAGCTGCTAGGGAGATGGGCTTGAGGAACAGGTAGTGAGTGCTTCCATGGGAGTGTGGAAGGAGTTTGCACCAGAGCATCAGGGATCAGTTACTATGCATCATTTTAGGTAATGGTGTAAATATTGGGATGGAGGACCTCTGTATGCTGTGTGACTGTTGACTAGAGGAGGGGGGGAAAATGTGATGCTTTTCAGTCAAAACCAGCAGTGCCCTCTGTGTCTGTGCTGGAATGATCACACAGATCCAGGGTGGAGAGCCGCTGCTCAGGTAGATGCCGTTAACTGCCTTGGCCGTTACACTGAGGTTGTATTGTCTGTGCTACATCATATGACTAAATATAAAAGCAGGATCATAGCCAGTGAGGCATGTGAAGTAATCCTCTTTTGGCAGAGTATTGTGTCCAGCCTGGCACAGGACTACAAAATATCCATGGACCTGCTGGAGAGAGGCCAGGAAAGAGCAGTGGGAATGAGCAGACCTTACTTAGCAGTCTGCTAAACACGACCTACAAGGAAGTATTGAAATAGGGTGTTAATGCAGGCTATAAAAGTGAGAAGTGAGGTTGAACAATCTTCAAAACCAGAAAAGCTGTTGCAGAAATGATGAGGTTGGTCAATTTTCCAGGGGCTTGACATGTGAGTTATAAAAGAATCTGGATACGACTGAAACGATTTTAGTAGTAGGATGGGTGGTGAAGCAGGGGAACGAATTTCATGAGGAGTTTGTGAAATCCTTGTCCTTTGGCGTATGTCTGCTGGGACAATACAGCTGCTCTTGTCTTGCAAAATGGGGACAAAAGCATAAAGCAGGCGGGGAAGACTTGAGGAGGTCAATGGATCTATTCCTGTCTGAAATACACCAAGGCTGTACCTAACAGTGGAAGCAAATGCCCATGAAGAAGGTGCCATGCACCTCATTGCCCATCTTTGTGCTGGTTGAGCTTTAGCTGGGTTCCATGGCTGGCGCAGCAATGTCCAGCCTTCCTGGTTGCCTAGAAATGTACAGCTCAGTAGGTGGGAGAATATTCCAGAGTGGGAGTTTTGAGTATTGCCAGATTGAAATAAAGAGTATTCACAGATTGTCATTAATGGATTTCATCGCTTTGTGCAGAGAGGGTTGTGGAAACACTGATCTAAAGGATGAATTCGTAGCAGTCTCAAGGAGCTTTCCATTGTGTTACAGGAGCTGAAGTGTGGTCTGTGTTTTTGTGCATAAAAGCTATCAGTTTTTCTTCTGGCCTGATGTTTTGCACTGTAAATACCTTGTTTGCTTGTACTGACATCTCCCAGCATGTGCTTCAGTTTAGATGTCTGTGCTGAATCATTAGGATTTGCTCTAGCATGGCAGTTGCAAAAGAAGTGGAATTTTAAGCAGGCAAACACAGCGTGGCTCTAACTGTTCCGTTCTCCTTGGTGGCAATGAAGTGGAGTTGTCTTTTTTTTTATCTCCTTAAACCCAGAGCAGCTTCACTGTCATGGATATTTCTGTTTCTGTGATGGAGTACGTTTCATTCACCAGTGGTTCCAAAGAGCAGTGAAGAATGCTGCTGTTATTCAGTAAGTTATGGCAGTTACAGTTGGTAACCGTAGCCTTGGAAGGATTCTAGCTTTGTGTTCTTCTGTCCCCCATTCTGGTGGCCATCAAAACTGGCATTTAGGAGCCCTGGCCGTTTAGAGGCACCATTAACACACCAGTCTGTGTCCTGGTCTCGAGGTGCACAGCTCGCAGACGTGCAGGGAGGTTTCCTCTCCTCTCCCCATGGTACACTCATAGCAGAGCTTGCCCTTGTTACCTGGCAATGGGGAGGTCGCCTGTGACCACTTTGATGCCATTTTGGTTACTTCTGAAGCTGCTTTCTTCTGAAGTAGGATTTAGACTGGAAGAAAACAAAGACTAAAGAGAAACGTGACTGTTTTTACCAGAAGGCTTTGCATTGCTCTGGAAAATGTATTTCCTCACTGCAGTGGTTCATTTGAATTTGATTGCGTTTTCTAGCTTGTTCTTTGCCATTGAATGAGTCCTGTTTCCAGACGTTAGCATAATTGCTTGTGGTAAAGTACCTTTGGTTTTAGGCAAGCGTGATGCGGGAGGCTGTGAAAATAAATCTGGGGAGGTCATTAAAAAGTCTAATCGCTTTTTTACTCTCATTGTTATCTCTTTGCATGGTGGGGATGCGGCTCAGGCTGAGCCCCGGGCCGGGAGGCAGCTCCTGCTCTGAGGAGTTTCAGTCAACCGGAGCCCGATGGGTGTCTGGTCCTGAGCTGTAATTCTGCTGCTTCACCCCCTTGCTGCTGGCTCTTCCTGTGCCTTTATCTTCTCAGTTAAAGAGCTGTCTACTATGCAGTGTTTTATCTGTGTATACTAACTATAAAGCTTCATCAAGGCACCTATTCTTTCCTTTGGCAAGCATGTAGATGAGCACTGTTAAGCTGTTTTTTTCCCCAGAGCACAATTCTTTCTTGCAGCCCCAGGTCATTGTTTTCTCTGGTTTTCTGTCTCCTCCTTTCAAATGCAAACCCCAGGGCTTTGATCAGTTGTCTGATATAATTCTTTCTGATGTCCTATTCGGAGCCATTCCTGTTGGATGTTTTCCTATGAGTATGTCTAATTATGGTGCTGTTCTTATCAGGTGCAAGTGCTTATCTTTAATGAGCCCTTAAATCCTTTTAGGATCAGTGTTTTCCAGTCCCCACTCTAAAAGATTGGCCTAAATTCCCTCCCTGCCACCTTCTCCAGGTGTGCAACTGCAGGGACAGCTTGAGCTTGGAAACCAAAACCTTAGCTCTGCCCTTTGGATTCACCCTAAAAGCAGGAACTCCATCATCAGGCAATGGCAGCAGCCTTCCAGGGGTGAAACTGTCCTGGAGGCTTCATCAGATCTGCATAAACAAGTGTCTATCCTCTCTTTGTATCTTTGTCTTCATGAAGGCAAATGGGTTGCTCTCCTCTCTCGAAGACGGGATGCTGCTTGCAGGAGTGATGCTCCAGAATGATCTTGAACTCTAAGAATCTCCTAATGACTCAGAGGACATGAAGATACAGAACCACCCAGAAGAGCGCTCTGGCAGCGCTCAGTAGCCCAGCAGCCGGCTGTTCCCACAGAAGCTGCTTCCTCCACAGCAGAAGCTTCATGGGGGAAGTACAGGCTGTCTCGAAGCGGAGCGCGTAACCACCTCTAGCTAGTTTTCATTTTACCACATCCTGTTTGCTACAACACCAGATGATGTGTTTGCTGTAGCAAAAGAGACGTTTTCTGGTATCCCCATATCTATCACTTACGTGTAGGACCCGCTCTTGGTTCATGATGGAGTTGTCCTCGTGCTGTGGGATGGGCACGCCTGTGACAGCGCCGCTTCCAGAGGGCAGTTTGGGAATGAACTGGAATGAGCGTGGCTGTTGGGTGGATCAGGGTCTGCTCAGCCAGTGCAGCTGCCAAGGGTGAACTGGAGTGAATTAGGTCATAGTGTTGCTTTAGAACAGGATTATCGAGGTTATTAAAGTTAAATGCTTTGGAGCAAACTTGTTGCTGGTTATAGTTCAGTGACTCTTATGTCTGACACTGGACTTACTGACAAATTGCATCTGCGTGGTAGGCAGTGAACAAAATCAGCTTAGGACTTATGGGATGTGACAGTAAAACATCCTGGCTTGGTTCAGCCTTGGGTTCTCTGGTAACTGCTTGGGAGCTGGTGGGTTGTGGCAGTTTGTCTACACCCATCTCGGTTTCTCATCAGTTACACAGAGCTGTTGGGTTTGGGTCCTGGGGAAAGATGAGGCCGGAAGGTGTTTGAGCTGTTTCAGCAGCTGGTCATGCTGCAGTTTCAGCCTTTCACCTTGCCTAGGAAGTGACTTGCATGGGTTTTTTTTCTCTGAAACTGAATCTAATTTTTGGTTTATTTTCTCGAAATACACTTGCAAAAAGGACCAATTAAAACCCATGTAGTTGATGTAACAAGTTACAAACGTGGGTTTTTTTTTTTCCTATTTACCATCTCCTTTTGCTTAGTGAGGAATGATTGTTCTTGGGTGATTCATTTAACTGTCTTTCATATCCACTTAAATCAGCAGGCTCCAAGTTGGAGGTCTTCCCAGCCAGGGTGAGCATTTTGCCATCTGCATCAGTGCTTCTTCCTACACACGCACGTCTTCTGCGGGGCTCTCGCTTCTTATCTGCTCCCTTTACACTGCAGCAGCTAAGTATAGCTAATGTATATTCCTTTTAGCTGAGTTTCCAGAGCAGATGAGCCTTAGGTCTCTTTTGTAGTTCCTCCTGCACAGGCAACCTCCATCTGCAGGGAGGGACTTTTCTGCCTGCCCTCTGCAGTTAGAGGGAAACGTGCTCCTGGCCATTGTGGCTGCTGTTTCCTCCAGCTCCGTCAGTGACAACGTTGAGAAAAGCCCAAACCCCTCCAAACAAGGGTGAGAACAGCTAAAGAAGTGGGTTTTTTTTAGGGCAGTGAATCACACTTTCTGTTGCTTGTTTCTCTACTTCTGGACCCAGCATATTTGATTATTTCAGAATTCTGATGCT